CAGGCGGATCGCTGTGAGTTCGAGGCCAGCCTGGTCTCCAGAGTGAGTTCCAGGCTAGGCTCCAAAGCTACACAGAAAAACCCTGTCTCAAAACTCGAAGGTGAACAGATACACTCAGAAACACTGTAATCAAATGCACACTAACAATATAGCATTTTATTCACCCCTCAAATTGCCATGAATCTGAGAACAGCAACGGGTCTTTCCTTGGAAAGCTGCATACTGTCACAAATTTGTATACAACTCAAGAGGAACGCCAAGAAGCTACATGCACACCTGGTAAAGCTCTTTTCTTAAATTCTAATTTAATCACTCCCACCTTTCTCAATGTTATTCCACTAAATACAAAACTTTAGAGAAAGTATGGAAGTTGGCAGAGGGCAAGCAATATTTCATTCCTTTGAACAGAATGAGGCATGCTTTAGAAGCATGTCTCCTCACCCCCAAGCTGGATGCTCTAGCTGTGTAGGTGCAGCTTCTTCCCCAAATACATTTCTCATCCACATTTAAGGAGCAGAGACAATTCTTTTACCTAGAATATGAATTAGCCCTTTGTTTCTTAAGAAATGTCTATTAAGTCTCAGTAGCACAGTGCTCTCTTAGCTCTTTCTGTGCCTTTCAATCCCAGCTGGGAAGGACTGATCTAAAGGACTGCCTACAATGCTTGATCCAACTCCAGTCTCCCATCCATGTCAGCAATACTGTACAACTCATGTTTCTGGAAACAGAACATAGACTAAGCAGGACCAGCATCTTGATTTTTAAAAAGGGATGAGCCCTAAGGATTTGAACATTCTACTCCACTACCATATGCCAACTGTCCATACTGACTTAAAAAAAATCAGTATGCTTTTCTTGACTATAGGCATAATTCATGTTCAACTATCAGACTAAAGGGGAGAAGAATAGTTACTCATAATACTACTATTTAGAGATGAATCTTGTCTTGGGCAAAATTACGAGCATTTTTATATCATTAAATAAACTTTTAAAACACATTTAAAGTCTACCAACATTCTACCAAGTACAGATATTTTTATAACTTACTATCAAGATGCCAGTTTTTAACATTCATAATAATGTCAGGATGAAACATCAAATATCTAAATCACTATTATCTTACTGATGGGGTTGTCCTTGTGAATTTTTTTAACAGAATGTTAGCTGGGCACAGGAATTCATGCACTTAGGAAACTGAATTAGAGGACTGACCTACACAGTAAGTTCAAGGCCACCCTGTCTCGAGTCATTTAAAAAAGTCCTATAACATTTAGCAATGTAGACTATTAGAAGTCATCTATGCCATGCTAAGAAATTCAGATTTTTATTTGCCTACTGCTATTATTGATGGCCAATGCAATCCACAAAATATTTGGCCATTTTAAGGCTTTGAATTTATATAACCAATTTGCTTCTCAGAAAGTTTAAAACCCATAAATTCTACTGTGATCATGTTATATAACGTAATGAGTTATAAAACTGATTTACTTACAGATACCCACTAAACTCTTCTGAGGGTTTTCTCCAAACTGTTACATCTTTCTAGAAAAATATAAACATTATATGGTGATAATCATACAGGTAGAACCTTATATGCAAAATTAATTCTTTAAGTTTAGAGTACTTAAGTTTGCATTAAAAACAACTTAAGCAATTTCTCAGAGAGAGTAGTTACTTATGCCACAAAGATATCTGCATTTGAATTTCTTCTGTTTCACTCCATACTTACATTATACAACTTAAAGATTTTCTAGTACCTTAGAGATTCAAAGAATTTAAACATTCAGTGGCAGCACTATATTAGTGGCTATTATTTGCTTCAGCCCAATCTTAGCTATTTACTATTACTGACACATTCAGTCTACAACATTAAGAACATTAAATATTTCATTCTCAAACTGTCCATGCCTTTTTAAAATTAAATAATTCACATTTATTGTGATAATGCTATCTCAAATTAGTTCCTACATGTTTTCCTCCATTGTTTCCCAACTGACTCTAAATATAAAACTACAGACCTAAAGAAGAGCCTGGCTTCTAGGTTTGGCTCTACCACTCTGCCAAATCACATGGTAAAGAGGAATGCTAACTGGCCCCTCACAAACTCTTGACACATCTGACAGGAGAACAAAGTTTCAATGACCATCCTTCCTTTAACTCTTCCTTTGTTGACTTGTAAAACTGTTCTTCTATCTCATTGCCATGAATCAATTTTCAAGTCCAATACTAGTAAAGAGCTAATGGGCTCCTTCCTTGTTAAGACAACACACCATCCCATCTGTAGAATTATCCACTGCATGTCCATTTAACATTGCATTTCTCATCCATATTTTTCCTAATATTTTAAAAGTCATCCGACAACTCACTGGCCATACACTAAACACCCAAACAGTGATTACATATATTTACCATTTTCTTGGCAACTCGCCACTTATCTTCTTCAATGCTATGATACTGGATCAGAGTGTTTTGAAGTTTAGTTGAAAAGGAGGCAACATCAGACAGGCTTTCCATTTTGATCTTCCTGTTATAGAAACCAAGATTACTACAGTAAGTCAAATCTTTATTCAGAGTAAGTTCTCCTGGGGGAGCTAAAAAGGACAGCTGCACCTGTACCTGTGCTCCACTCCCAATGAACTAATTGGACACTCTGAGAGCAGGAGCTGAGTAGAAGTTTTCCCTGAAAGCCTGAGATCAATACTCAATAGCCAGGGATAATAAGCAGACTCTTTGTTATTAGAATCACTCCTATAAAATAATAAAAAGAGACAGATGGAAGAGGGAGGAGGTGGCTCTCAAGTATTCCAGCTCTTCAGGAAGTTCCAAAGTCCACACCCAGAGGCCTATTTTGAACTTTGCTTCGAAGGAGAATCTCTATATGTCCAGCAACATATCTTAGCAATTTATTATTAAAGTGACATTGATTCCCAAAGGCTCGGATTCACCCTTAATTATTAATAAAGATTCCTATTTACACCATCATTCCTCATTGCCTAGTGTTCTATTACCTAGGGTTGTATATTCCTTAATCTAAGCTTATCAAGACTTTTGATCTTTGGACTTGGGATTTCTTTGCCTGAACTGATGGATTCCAAGTTACAGCATAACTAACAACTTGCAATGCCAATTGCTGTTAAAACTCCTGTCCTTACCCAGACATGTGCAACTTACTATCGTATCTTTGTTTTATTCCTCATAGTGCTTGGCAGTGTCTTAAGCTGATTTATTATTGGTGTATAATTTCACTCTTTTAACTAACTCACCTAACTAACAGACCAGAGGTCTCTGTCATATTCACCACTGTCTAATTCTCACCTAGAACACTTTGTGGCCTTTAATATCACTGTTGACATTTTTTCCACATACAAGATTTGGTATCCTTTTATTATCTTTTGATGCCAAGATACCAATTCTTGGCATAATTCCTACATCATCCTTACTCTTTCCATACCTATAAAAGGTTAACAGAGAAAAGCCGCCCATTACACCACCATCAAATCACTAAAAACAAAACCAGGAAAAACTTCATTAATAATTCTATCTTCCAACCAGAGCTCAGAACTATTGATCTAAACTAAAGGTTACAGAAATAAATCAAAGCTGTAGCCAATATTTAAATATCACAATGTAGAGTATAGAAGCCTCAAATTCCAAAATTAAGTAGAAAGATGAGAAAATATACATGAAAAATTCAATAACCTAAAACTTGAGATCCACAAAATATAAAACTTCTAAGTATAGACCACACCTATTCATGTAAAGTGGATGAGCTCATTCCAAAAGTCTACTCGTCAAGAATATAGAGCCACTAAAGAGCCTGCCAGCTTAACAACCTTATTCAAGGGTGTGGTATAAACAAGTGCAAATTCTTGGACAGCTTATAAAAGAAATGTACCCAGTACTGGGTCATTGTGATTTGGCCACATTCTTTAAACCCAGAGGCCTCCTGCTAGCTTCCTGTTGGTGACAAACACGAACTTTAATTATTTTCAGAATTATTTGAAATAAATCAAATGAAATGGAAAGCCGCTACTATCACACTCAAACATTAGCTTTGTACAAAGCAGGTACAGAAATGTCAGCAGTACAAGCTACCTATAAAGATGAGAATCTGGAACTTTAAGACATTTATCTTGGCAATTATTCACATCTACACACCAACACAATTTCAAGCCTTCTGGTATCGCTTATGTGCAGCAGTGCTCCACTTGGGTTAGCTCCCTCCAGTGTTCTCTTACAATCCACACTGTAACTATTCATTTATAGGCTATCATTTAGCTGATCTTTTGGAATATAAGATATAGCTAGCTGTTCAGGGTTGTGCTCTTTCTGACCAGCATGGCGTAGAAACTCAATAAATAAAATATGCATTGCCACTGACACCAATCATCTGTGAACTTCTGAACACAGAGAGTCCCCATTACCATAAAGAATGAACAGCTTCTCAAGGTCTACTACTAAGTATTTACCAGTATCCAGTTATAAAGAATGGAAATAAGATAGAGCCAAGCTTTTGACTTATTCTGTCCCTTAAATCTCTGTGGCAATTAACAAAGCTAAAACTCTAGAAACTGATTAATAGTATCTTTAAGGTTGCTGAAGAAGGAAGGAAGCAGAGATTGAAATAAATATAACATCAAAAGTTCTCTTTTAATCTTTGAAGTGTTTCCTCAGCAGTTAATTCCTGCATGGAAGTTCAGAATAAATAATGGAACTGTCTAGGTTTCGATGTTTGCGTCTGATCGCCTCTCTAAACACATTCTAGAATGAAGGGAGGTAGTATTAAGTTGGCAAGGTTTTGGCTCTCCCCTGATAAAACTGAGTGCTTGGATTAACTGAAAACAAAGCACACAGTTTGCCCTTCTGCCACTTTTTAAATACCACTCTGAATTTCCTCTTACTAACGAAATCTTTTATTCCCTTGGTGTTGTTATCAGAAATTTCCCCAACCATAACAAAGATCAAAGATAAGGGGCACCACCTAACTAAACACTAACAACAGCATACAAAAGGTCATAAATACTGTCAGGGCAAGAGTTAATTATTGTCCACTGTATATCTTTTTTTTTTTAAAGTTAACCTTTATGTTTATGTTTTCTATGTCCATATTTCTGAATGAAAACTACTGGGGTTTGAGAAGATTTTCCTGATGCTATATATTAGCAACAAAGTCTTGACTAACAAAGTTCCAGTTATTCTCAACTATATGCCACAGTGAAATAGCAACAGGCTCTCTTTTAAACACATGACATTTTAGAACCCACAAAACAGCTCAATGATTAAAAGTTCATGAGTTTGACCAAAAAATGATGCCCCCCAAAGTTGTTCTTTGACATCCACATGTCACATGAACCCTGCCATGTGTACACCTACACATACACATGTACACACACACACACACACACACACTCACTCACATCCAATGCAAAAAATCTTGAAAATACTTTAAACATCCCCATAGCTATTTGTTCTTTTGTAGTTTAATACACTTACTAAAGATTTTCTGGCATCTGAACTTTTAATCTTCCATTATTCAATTAGTATAGTTTTTATGGGCATCATGCCAATTTAACAAGCCACAGATTTTCTTCAACAAGACAGCAAACTAAGGCCTTATCAAATTATACATTCTAACATAAAAATATTAACAAATGCTCAATCTCCAATCTATCTTGAACCACTAATTTAACTTTTCTAACTCCAGTCAATTACGGTAGCTACCCATTGGCCCTTGCTCAATATAAAGGCATGAACTATGAAAGCATAGTTATATGGTAAGTGTGTACAATGACCCTCTTTCAAATGCTCACCTTGACAAGCTGCCTGACAATATTAACACTCTTTACAATGTGCAATATTTACATTCTAACGACAACACAGTCTGAATTTTGAATGTAATGGTGTTCAACTCTTTAATGCTCTTAGTCCTTTTGTAGAATAGTTTTTAAAGTAGTTACGCCCTATTACGTGGTTAGTCTTTCTGATAGTTTTACATAGTGCCTTTCCATGTGATTATCGTTGACAACCTTAAGAGCGCATCCTGCCTTTATCACTACTTTACAGAATGGAAAGCAGCCATGGAAAAGCGAAATTATTTGTTCCAGATTCCAAAGACAAATAAGTGAAGGAACAAAAGCTCCAAGCCAAGCTCTTTGATCTGAATTCACAGGTCAATCTTGAAAAAGCGATCCGAGACTCTCACAAACTTTACATAAAAACCCGACTTCCACAATGTATTTAACTGTCTTCCTACCTCCTGAACCCCCAAACCTCAAATAACCTTCCTTAAGTAGACACGAAAGAAATCTGCAGCAGTAACTTCTATGAGTTACTACATGGACTTGCAAGTTGCTGAGCACTGGGGAAGTGTCTGTCTCTTGGGAACCCTGTCCCCATGGAA